CTGCTGAACATGTTTAAGGTGGAGACAATTAGGACAATTTATACTGCTGTAGATAGCCTTCTTCAAGCAGTAGATGGAATTAAATTCTACCACTTCAGATCGGAGCCAGTGGGTTCAAATGGCAAGAAATGGCATTTTGTTTAAACATTAGGAAGGATGACCAAACCACCAGCTGTTGTTTGAAAGCAGAACAGTTTAGCCTGTTCCTCTTCAAAGGTTTTGAAGCAGAGGTGGAAGTTGTAGCATCAGATTTCCTGCATCTGCAGGGGGTGGTTATAGATGACTTTTCAGGTTGAATTCACTGCTTCTAACAGTATACAAATATTTTTACAGGCGAGATTTAGAATTTAACTTTGCATTTCCCACATCCATATTTCACACATGCCACCAAGAATGTGACTTGGGTAAGGAGAAAATAACTTTCCCATTTTTTTCCCCAATTAGCCACAGAAAAACACAATGTGACTGAGGCTCCTATTCAATTTGTGGGTATTTCCATACCTTAAAAACAAACAAAAAACAAAAAAACAAAAATGAAACTACACCAAATATACCAGGTATTGACCTGCCCATCCCATTTCCCGGCACCCAGTTTCACACACCCCTGCATTCACACGCGCTCAACAAGAACGAGAGTTCAGAAAGCTTCCGCGTGGCCCTGAAAACCTCCCTTTGTGCCTGCGTGTCCGTGGGACAGTGTCACCCGATTGCGGTGGCACGTAAGATCGAAAGGAAAAGGGGGCGAACGTGAAGGTCTTGGGAAGGGCGGCGGGCGGGCAGAGAGACCCTCCCTGGCGGAGGGCGGCTTCCGCGGGCAGCGACTAGCGGCGGTCACCGAGCGGGAGGTGGGGCCGGCGGCACGCTAGGGCTGCTGTAAAAATATTTAGAGATCACATGTTTTTGACTTCTCAGTTTTCCATAACTGTTGGATTATGATGCATAGAAGCAGTGTGGATAAGTAAAGCATGTAGAATTAAACAAGCTACTGTTACCTGGACTCATTTTCTCTGTTTACTTCACCATGAGGGAAAACAGTGATTTATTCTGAAGAAAGATGGAGCAGTTTGGAAGCTACATTCCTGATGAGCTGACCAGGAGACCAAATTGATTAATTATTGTGCCTTAATTTATTCTTTGATACTCAGATAAACTTTCATATGATTGTCATAATTATCTGGTTCACACTGGTATTTAACCCTTTCAGGTTAGTTGCTATGAACAACCACAAACTCAAACCAGCAGGGGGTGTTATAACATTCTATAGTTTTGTTTGAGTGCCATATTTTTAACTTTTACATGGAGAATGTTGATGTATAACTATGTATTTAAGTAGGGATTTTATAAGGGTTCTTGTTTTTAAAGTCACTCAATTTTTCACCTTCCTAATCATGCAATTCTGATACTGGAACAATATTTAAAAGCAGTGGCAAAAAGAAAGAAAGAAAGAAAGAAAGAAAGAAAGAAAGAAAGAAAGAAAGAAAGAAAGAAAGAAAGAAAGAAAGAACCCGGAAGGCAAGGAGCAACTCGCCCTCCCCTGTTGCCGCCCCAAAACGTCCCCGGGCAAACCGGCGCTGCCTCCGCGGTGCGGAGCGCGCGGCACCGTCGGGCAAGCTGCTTGGGCTCAGCGACCCCCGTGCCGATCTTTCTCTTTCTCTCTCGCTCTCAGCCCGTTTCTCTTTCTCTCTCCCTTCCCGGATTGGCTTCGCGGAGGGCGGGGGGCGTGACCTCCTCCCCCACCCTCTCCTCCTCTGCCGCGTTCGAGAGCGCGGGTGTGACCGCGCGCCTTCCCCTCCTGTCCGCGGAGCAGAGGATCGTGGCCGCAGACGGAGCGCGCCAGGTCCACGCCTCGCGGCCGAAGTCTCTCTCTTTCTCTCTCTCTCTCTCCCCGCCCCCCACGGCTCCTCGTTCAGGATCTCTCCCGATGGGTGCCTTGACCGGTTGCGTCGGGCGAGCTCTCGCGCGTGGCTGCCTGGACCTGTAAAGGCGAGACGGGATCCCTCAGCGGGCCGTCGCCCCGCAGGACTTGGCGGTGGGCGATTTCATTTACAAGCCGATTTTTTGCGACGGCACAAGCTTGTCACGCACGGTGTGTGGACGCACAACACAAGAGGACCTGGGCTTTGCTTCTAGCTTAGAAACCCTGCCCCTGTGGCCGCGTCTTTCTTCATTGAACTCGATTAATTAATAATTATGTGCCTTCCCACTTGGTTTAGGGTGACTCTCCTAGGGATTAAGTCATCACAGATGGCTGGCCAGTTTCTCCTTCTGGTGGCCCTGCGGGGAGGGGGGAGCTCGCCCAAGGCCACACCGGAGACAGGATATGGAACCCTCTCAGCCACATATGCCCGATGTTCTTGGCTGGTCCTTCTCCCCAGAGGCACAGGGAGGATTTGAACTCTTGCCCCTGACACTTTAGTGCATTGAATTATAGTATAGGATTGAATAGACCCCTTTTACTATCCAGCTGAGATACCTTTATCAGCTGAGGAACGAAGTTAGTGGTTATTTCCTTCCTGCTGTTTCATCAAAGTTCTGCTGCCAAAATTGGTACCTCTCCGATGTGGTTCCTTATCAGGACCACGATCACCTCTCCCGGTTCACACAAATGCTGAAATGCTTTCAGAGCTTCTTGCAAAGGTTTTCTGCTACTGGTATAAATTTCCACTCCAGTGTTATCAGTGCACAACAGTTGTGGCTCTTCTTCCTCATTTCTAGCTGCACATCCCTCTGCTTTTCCACTCTAATGTTTTTTCTAAATTGCACATTTTGTGACTCACTACACAACCAATCAGCTCTGGACAAGGTGTCGTGTATTTAAGGGCCATCATCTGAATCATTGTGTATGTCAATGATTCAGGGCCTGTTAAATTCTACGCCCATTTAATGCCATTGAAAATCAGAGCGAAAACTTTCTGAGTAGTGTCTGCTTTTCAAAAACCTTTGGGCTTGTATTTTATTATTAGAGTTCTATACCCTTTTACTGGGGCACAAGTCCCACTGACCTGCCAGTGCTATACTGTTCAGTCTGCAATCCTGTACTTCTAATTTCTCCAATGCTTATTGGGGAAGTTAGAAGTAGGTTCCGTACTGTTTCCAGGCAAATAGCTTTAGAACAATCAGTAAATCTGCTGTAGTGCTCAGCGGCATTCCTGTCTTTACACTCTTCGCTCTAATATGTGTGCACCTTTATTTTAAAGCACTATCCTTTTTTTAAAAAAAGCTAAATGTCTTCTTCTGAATCAAAGCCCTGTATGATGTAAGCGCCCTTTTAGGATACTTGCATGTTATGAAATCCTGTTTAAGCAGTTGCAAACACCTTGTCGTTTTGAGAACTCTAAAGCTAATGGATGCCTTTGTCTTGCTTTCGGCCTTAGTGATTTGCAACATCAACGGTCTGTTGGCTGTGGAGAAAGAAAAACAAAGAAAAAAGAAATGAAGAAAAAAGAGACATGCATAACAGGGAACAAATTTCCATTGGAAATGAATAAAAATGAGGTGGAATGCTGTGGCAGTAGGGAAAGGCTTCCGTATTGGGGATGGAATACATGGCCTTCAGGTGACCCACCCACTCCGACAGTTCAGCTGGTGGAGGTGGCAGTGAATAAATCTGGCCACAGCCATATTGCCAAGGACTGAGATGGGACAAGTTGTTGTTTTGGACTACAGCTTCCAAAAGGCCCGAGTTCTTTCCTTCTGTGAGCTGTTCCCCCGAAACAGTAACTTGGCTCTTATCTTTAGCCAAGGAGTTTCTCTTTGTGTAAGAAGGAGGGATCAGGCTGGTGGACAGGGGCCGTCCAGGGAGTCTTAGACTACTAGTCCTGACCTTTAACTCGATCCTCCTTAATTTGAGATGATATGGCTGAATACCAAGTAGACAACACGGCTCGGTTTTGAGCTTCTTGGAAACACGATGAATGCCAACTGTGGGAAGCGAGCTGGACTTGATGTTCTCCAGGGAGGAGGAAAGCCGTGGCGGGGTCAATGGAAAAAGAGTTCAGAAAGCACAAACTGTGACCATGGCATGTGTTTAGGGCCCCGGGGAGAGGATGCTTCCGCCTTGGGCCTCTCCATCCCTCGACCAGCTGGGGCGATACAGGAGCGGGGTGCCTGAATTTGCCAGGCCCCTCCTAGGCTTTCATGTCTTCATGTGCCCTCTCCAGCACTTCCGTCTTTCGCCCCACTGCAGCTGATAGCCTGACCCTGGTACGGTTGGTACTAGACTGCTGTAGAGAATCCTACATCCATTGTGAGGGGCTCCTGAAGAATGTTATTTACAATTTAAAAAATATTTTTAGTGCACAACTCTTAGGAGAGAGAGAGAGAGAGAGAGTATACTTATGAAAGTAGATCTAGGCTTCTGCCTAGTCAGCCGTAAGAACAATACGGCCTTGGGCGCCTGCCCGAGCTACCAACCCACCGGATCCCTTAGCGGGGCTGCACTCAGAACTGTTGGGTCTGATGCTCGACTCGGGAACAAGGAAGTCCTCGAGGTTTTCTCCCCGCTAGGGGGCAGCGCCGCGCTGCACACTGCCCCAGGCAGCTCTGCCAGGGCAAGAAGTCTCCCCCCCCCCGGGAATTTATCAGCCGAGGGTGGGGTTTTGGGGGGAGAAGGGGGGGAGAAGCAGCAGCAACGGGCTGCCTGGGGGTGGGATAGTGTTGGGCAAAGATTTAATGAGATCAAAGCCGCTCGCCTGGATTTCCTCATCCCCTCTTGTTTGACATGCTGCCTTTTGGAGACAAAACGAGGTACTCTCCCTTGCACGTCGAGGGTTCGCGCTTCGGCCCGCGGGATTTCTACTATTTTTAGAAGGGGGGGGGGAGTCCGCCTTCTCATTAGCCGTCGAGAGACAAAAGCCGCCGGAGATTAGGGCGGCGGCGGCTCCCGATTGTTCCCCGGGTGGCTCGCGCAGGGTGGAGCCCGGCGGACCGCGACCGGGGGGGGGACCCGAGGGGCCGAAAGTCCCTCTTCGGCGCGGCTCTGTCCCAGGATCGTCTTCGCTCGCCATCTGCTCTCCCTGCTGCCGCCTGCCCGGCTCCCTTTCGGAGGGAGGGATGGGGGGTCGGAGGAGCGTCGAGGCGGCCGCGCGGCTTCGCTCCGCCGGGGATGGCGCGGTAAGACCAGAAGGGTCCCCGGGATTATCGACGGGCGCCCCCGCGCAAGGGTCAGCCGCCGCCTGGCCGGAGTCCCAGCTGGGGTGGGCGAAGTCTTTGCCCGGCGGCTGCTTCCGCACCTACGCCACGCCACCCCAGAGTCCGAGCAGCGTGCCCCCTTCTCTTCCCCAAATTTCCCCTCAGGGCAGGTCGGGAGGGCATGGGGGCAACGGAGCCGGTCGTGCGCGCCGAAGAGGTCTCGCCGTGGCACCTGAAGGGCTGTCACTTCCTCTTGCTTAGAACTCCGTTCCCGCCGCCTGCCCTTTTTTTCGGAAGTTTCTGTGAGTTT